GATTATATTTTGAGAAGTGGCAATTTTGGCGATCCACCCTGGATAGGGGAGATTATGTCACGAGTTTACCTTTCTTTGGGCGCTGACTTAGAGGTAGACTTAGACATAATTAATTAGGAGGAGTCTGAGTGAGACTGTGATATGGAGATCATTCTCCATGAACTTGTGATTTTAGCTTGGAGCATGAACCTGTCTTGTGCAACAGGTCCTCTTCGTTGTTTGACGCAGCATTTGGACTAGTTTCAACTTGATCCCGTGAGGATCATCTTTTGTTATCACTGATAATAGGTCGGTTGGTTGATCGCCGACTTGTCGGCTTACGACACAACTTTGCTTATGCTTGTACCCCCACTTGATTGTCTTAGCCCTGTGATTTAATATGTTTTCTTTGAGGGTTTTAATCGAACTTCTTTTAAATGACCATTATAAAGAACTCGTGAGTTTTATGAAGGTTTTGACTATGACCGGGGGCTTTAGTGTGTGAGGCATGGTGTGAGTTACAGGGAAAAGTAATGTTCACCACATTGGTGTATGACAATGTGGCTATTGTGTGTGCCTGTGTTTTATGCAGGTTAATATATTGAAGCTTGGTATATGGACCATACTTTGGAGGCAGTGAGAATGACAACCATGTGTCGCACGATCTGCATACCTGATGGGTCTATGTTTCCCCTTCTTTTATTTTATCTCGAGTTCTGATTTGGTAGATAAGTGGTGGGATGTTTATTTATTTATTGGATGATTTTGCTTGTTAATTTTTATAGTTGGACATTGTAGTCTGTGGCAGCCGTCAAAGTCAAACCCCTTGACTTTCGTCCAAGCCTGGGGTAGGACTTATCCATAGGGCCGCAAGATACGACTGCCACTACAGGTATGGACCTGTATACCACCCGCTCTGCACAGAGTGCAGAAGAGGGTGTGTGTTCTTCAACCGCGTTTGACGGTTGTCCGACGTCGAGAGATTAAGCCTCAAGGCGCGTGTCAGCCGGCACTTGAGTGTCGAATGCGACCCTCGAGATTAACCAGGACCGCACGAGTATGGGTACTACATAGTATGCCATCATTGCGACTGCTTGCGTAGGCTTGCATTGCGAGTCGATATGGGTTAGCCTTGCGTCCGTGCGGTTTTATATTAAGTCTCGCGCGCGACGCCTATTCGATTTCCGCATCAGAGAGTTATGGGATGGCTACCGAGGGGCTAGGAGCGTTGTTGCGTTGTTTGTGTTGTGTCGTTCCGTGTGTATAAGTGTGTGTTATTGTCTCGTGGTTGTTAAAGTGGTGTGCGCGTGGTGTGTGGGATGCGTCCTAGTCGACGGACGTCGAGCCGCGCTTGGGACTTCAGCCCGCCAAGATGTCGGTTCGCGTGCGGGCCCGACAAGCATATTACCGCGCGTACCCCCTATGCTACAGCGAACGAGAAACGCCCTCGGCTGGTCCACCTCTGCGATTTCAATCGAGTAGCTTTCGTACTGTGAACTGGTAGCTCGACGGGGATACGCCCACCGAAGGGAGGTGACAACTCCCGTAAGGTGGAGGTAAGTTGTGCCTCGCGTAGGCCCTATCCTGTCGTAGGGGCTCGCGAGAGGTATGCCTGACGCACTCGGCCGGAGCGGCCTAAGGAAGCTCCACTTATGTGTTCGTGATGAGGTTGGTCCAACTCCTGCGTGACGCGGCCGAGAGGGTCCCGCGCTGCCACGTGGGGTGTCGGACCGATACGCTCGATACCGGGGCCGAGAGCGGAAATTCTCTGCAGAGATTCGTCTGCTGAGACTGGAGGTGGGGAGGGGCCGGAACGGAGGAGTGTGATTAGAAATGTGGATTCGGTGATTACGTCACTGTCTGATATGGTTCTGTTTGATTGAGGGGTGATATTATGAGGGTAGATACTAGAAAGAGAGGAAAAGGGGGTCATTGAGAGGAGGGTAGAGAGAAGGGTTGGAGTTACGTTGAGGGTGGAAGGAAGTGGACAATGTGTCTGGGCTTAGAGTTTGTTGGCGATGAACATGGACAGGGTGGGGAGGAGTCGCAAAATGGCGAAAGGGAGACAGAGTTCGGTTTCCAGGATGACAGGCTGATGGTTTCATGATGCGAAGACCTCACCGCGCGACTGACTTTACAGGACCAGCAGAGGACTTCTGACGGAAAGGGAGGACAACCACCAGCAGAGGGCTTGTGACCAAAGAGGTGACGACCTAGACTAACGCAGAGTTTCTCTTAAGCTAGCCCACTATGTAGCCCTCAGCCAAAATCAAGCGAGTAGAATGACTCGGCCTCAATGGGACCTGACAGGTTGTGTGTGCGCAGATTCACGTACGCGATGATTGAGGCGAGCGAACGTGTACTGGAGGGCACGTCACGTGAGACTTCACAGACTGTATTGGCCGGTCAGACCCTTGTGACTTGTAATGTCCCTGGCCAATGCAGTGGGACTGCGAGGACTGGCGAGGCCGTCCTGCAGCGTGGGTGAGTGTCACATCACATTGTTCCTCTACTGTTGATGCTGGACAGAACGCTCGTAGTAGTGGATTGTTGGCTTCGAGTAGAATGTAGAGAAGTCGAATGAAGTTTGTCCGTTGATTCGTGAAATCTGTGGTTGATAATGGATGGAAAAATGGTCCCAAGGGTCCCAAATGTGGTTCCGGTAGTTGTGTGAAATCCAACAGATTTTGGCAAGAGGACCAGCTAGGATTGTCTGAAAACAAGATCTAATGGTTATGTGGACTTGAAACCAGGCTGGTTAGTCCCATGATAATACCTCAAGGCCATAGCCCTTTATAAAAAAAAACGAAAAAAAAAAAAACAAGAAACCAGAAACAAATAAAAATAAGTGGTATAATCTGAAAATAAGTACTTGATCCAGCGGCCTAACTCAGGGCACGCTCACCCTGCGGTAGCAAATCCGTATAAATTGCGAAAATGGGTTGGGCCGAATTGGGGTATTTGGGACGTTTCAGGTCACACTGCGTTCGCACTGCGTTCCCATTTCGCTAAAGACACGGTGGCTACCGTGCCATCACGGTGCTGCTGTTTGGGGTTTCCAGTCACACAGAAGTAACCCCAAATATAGAAGGTACATGTTCCCTTTTCAACTTTGCATTCATTTATGAAAATTAAATAAAAAAAGAATAAGGATTTTGCGGTAACCTCCGGAGGTTATTGCAAATTCCTTAAACCGGCGGCCAGGCAGGCCGCTGACAAATGGGTTTGTGAATGGGGTGTTTGGGGTCAGAACCATTGTGTGTGACCAGCCGTGTGCACAATTTTTTGGGAGTTTTACGGTTGTGGTACCCAGTGTGAGCGTGCCGTCAGTTGGTAAGGCACGCAAGTGGCATTCAGGAGGTCTTGGGTTCAATCCTCATTGGCCTCATGTACCTTCCTGGACATGCTTGGCACCTGCCACCTAGAGGTAGCACGTTGGTCCCCCCAATTGGCATTAAAAAGCAGTCTCTGCTAATGTTCATAGGGGGAGGGGTAATCGGGGAGGCACAGCGACTGGCCAATCAGATGATGCTCTGTCCCTCTGCCACGGGCTTATCCCCTGGCCGGTGTCCCCCGTTGGGGGTTCCCTGAAGGCAATCAAGCCCACCCTGGGCTGAACAGGCCACCCGATGTTAGATTAGACACAATATTGAATTTACCTGGGCTGGTTAGTCCGATGATAATACCTCAAGGCCATCGCCCTTTTGAAAAAAAAAAGAAAAGTGCTTGAAACAGACACAATCCTCGATGAGTTCTTTTAATTTTTCTTTTTCAATTGTCTTTGTCATTTCAAGAGTCGTTTCATTCATCCTGTTTCAGGAAGAATCGTATCCACGTCTTTCTTCTCAACAGTGCGATTCAATTTACTCTGATTTTGACTCAAGGTGACAGGATTCGAACCTATGACCCTCTGTACCCAAAACAGATGCGCTACACCTTGTTATGTTCAATTGGTAATTCAACTAGCTGACTAACTAAGATTGGATTGACTGGAACTGGTAAACTCATTGTTGTAGGTTCAAATCCTACATTCCAGAAATTAAGCCATAATAAAAAAACAGAGTTTGCACTGTCAGAGGTAATTGATGAGTTCTTTGGATCATTTCAAGAGTTTTTTTTTTTTTTTTCATTTAAAGAGTTTTTTTCATTCTAGTTCAAGAAGATTCGTATCCACGTCGTTCTTCCCAACAGTGCGGGGCCCAAGTCCCACTAGCAGCGTTGAGTTTCCTCAACGCCTGAATCTGGACGTGTTTGTGGAGATGTGCCGAAGTCGGGTTAAGTTTCCTCAACCACACATGGCCGCAAAAACGTCCAGATTCAGGCGTTGAGGAAACTCAACGCTGCTAGTGGGACTTGGCCTCAGGGGGTACCGTTCAGTCACACGAGTTGGGTAGTCCGATGATGTTACCGCGAAAAGGCGACCATTTCAGGTAAAACCAGAGAGAGGCCACTACCAGGGGCAAGGTCATCTGCGCCGATTAGGAGATTTCGGCCGTTGATCTTTGCTATCTACGGTCAGTGTCTCTTAATCCGTGCAAGTGGGACCTAGCCCCAGGGGATCAACGCATCCACGTCCTACCAGGGGCATAAACCCATCCATGTACTCCCAGGGGATAAACAGTTTTCCGGGGCCAAGCCCCACTTTCCCGAATTCTCAACTTCTGACCGTAGATTACGATGATCGGCGGCCAGAAATGAAGACTCAGGGTAAGGGGGAGTTTCCCCCAGCCCTTTAGGAAAAGGCGGGCAGGGAGGGGGCGGGAGAAGTTTGTGCTTGGTGAACACACACACACACACACACACACACACACACATACACAGCTGACGGGTACACACCCATGTACTGACAGCTGATGAACAGATCGTGGGTGCAACTCCTTCAAGCAGCATAAAGCACGTTTCATAATAGACCATACAGATGGGCGTGTGTTCGATTCCTGCGACGGGGATTTCGTATAAAGAGCATAGACCATACAGATGGCTATCGTGCATCTCGACTCCGTTCTATAGTGCATCTCGACTCCGTTCTCCAGGGGAAAACAGCACTCCAATCTCGAAGAGAAAATAGGTAGTAGGTGGACGTCGTAGACTTATGTGTACAGACAGGAAAGCCTGTATATAAGTGAGCAGGCATAGCAGCAGAGGCGCTTCTCAAGTGCACGTAGCCGCGTAGTGTAGAATCCCAAACGCTACAAGGCGTAGAAAAGGCCGTTATCGTTCCTCTACTCCGTATTCTTCGAGTACTCTTTCTCCTACTCCCCCATTATACGTCCCTCTTCTCACCTCTCGTCACTCATCGATTTCCTTCTCTTTCTTCTTGCGTCGCGTCAAAGGTATCCTGACGCCCGTGACTGCCGTCGTCCTTCTTCTCCTCCTCCTGCTCCTCGTCCTCCTCCTCCTCCTCGTCCTCTCTGTTCTTCACCGCACCTCCCAGGAGGAGACCGAAGACTAAGCCTCACTCGACGGTGGCGACAATGATGGAGCAAAAGGCTATCCGTTCCATCTCCTCTGTCCGGACGATGGCTATGGCGGTCGTCGTCTTGCTGGCAATCCTCCTGAACATGGCCGCGCATGGGGAAGCACAACGCGTTCCACGAGGGGTCAGTGTCGGGGGCGTCTCAGCCTTCGGAAGCGGTTGCAGTTCTGCGACCGCTCGCTTGATCGGCCGCGGGAAGTCGGTCAGCGTCTCCGTCAACTCGTTCGAGGCTACGACAACGGGAGGGCTGGCTAAACAACGAAATGTCTGTACTCTGAGCCTGTCGTTGTCTTATCCTTCTGGTTGGCAAGTGAGTGTGAGCTCAGTTAAAGCCAGCGGGTCAGCAAAGCTCAGCCGTGGTGTTCGTGGCATAGCCCAGGCCAGCTATTATATCAGCGGATCGCCGGGAACGGCGACAGCTAGCCTGAACATCAACGGCGCATATAATCGGGGTTTTACTTTGGCTAAGAAGCTCAGGCCAAGCATCTTTGTCACATGTGGCCAGCCGCGCACTATCAATGTCAAGCTCGAGGTCAGAGTCAACCCCGGCGGTGCTCGACGTGCAAGTGGCGTCGTCAAGATTGGAGGCTCGCCTGCAATCTTCGGCCTAACGTGGAAGAGGTGTTGAGCCACATCTGTCGGCCGGCGGTGGAAGTTCTCCTGTCAGCGTCGGGCTTAGCGTTGTCAGTTCTCCTGTCGGGGTCGGCCTTAGCAATGCCACTCATCTAGTGTCTGCACCAGCTTCAGCGATAGAAGTTCTCCTGTTAGCGTTGGAACTTGGAAGGTGTCCTGCCGCCGTCCTGGCCAGTGTCGGCCGCAGCAGGTTGTGTTTGTGTCGATCTGGTCCTTCTGAAGGGAGGGGTAGACAGGTTCAGACCGCCGTCAGATCGATGGCTGGACTGGGCACGTGGCAGTCACGTGCGA